TGCTAAACAACATTAAACAGTTCAACCCTACTTGCATGAGCCCACACCTCAACTCCACTTTCTTTAACAAAGGAAATCAACTCTATCCCACCGCATTCACTATCTACAACCCTCCCATCAACACCCCACAGCAGCTTCTAAACAAAAAATAAATCAACAAATGAAAACACCTTAAACATCCTCTCCCGGTTTCTCAGCCTCCTCCCCACATTTAATGCACATATTGTACCATATATTAAAAGAGGGATTCCGTAGCGCTGCTAGTCTTTGTGCTCACCAGGCCTAGGGAGAAACGAAAACTATGCAAGCTACTACTCCCCCGGGTCGACAACTCCTGTTTCTTGTTCCAGACCTTATCTGGCACCTCCTCTTGAAGTACTTCAGTGATGGTATAAGCTCCATGGGAGTCAGCTTCTTCACTTTGTACTCCGCCCCTGTTTTTCCCTTGACTGCGTTCTCCTCACTCCTCTTGGCCTTCTTGACTATCTTCTTACCCTCAGCCTTCTTCTTTACCAAGACTCCAGGTTAGAGTGTCGGCTACTCGCATATATAGTTCATACGTTGATGATGGTATGATCTTAGTGGCTGGGACTTCGAGATCTATCATAGCTGATGTGGCCAAGAAAACCTTTGAGGACTGGCAGTGGATGGCCTGGGGGAGAAGTATGAACTTCTCTGCCCAGAAATTACAATGGCTGGGGTTGGATGACTCGGTGTAGAACAAGATTGATTTTGGTGGTGTGGACCTGGACCTGATTGAGTGTTAGAGAGTGCTAGGATACTTCCTAAACCGGTTTTTACACTGGGATCATTATGTCGAGTACTAGTTAAGCAGAGTATTAGAGGTGAGAAGGCACATAGGAGTACTGATGAGGAGGTAGGGGGGAGGGCAGAGGGACTTGGGGCATGGGAAGCCTACCGGCTGATCCAGGTAGCCTATCTCCCAATGGTATGCTACAGGTTAGAATTCTTAACTAACTATAGGTCGTATGTGAAGAGAATCCAGGTACATGTTAATAACTGCATACATTGTACATTTCAGATACCACCCAAACTTGCCAACAGCATTCTCTGGGTGGAGTTTGGGATAACACCTGTTGTGGTTCAAGAGCACTACCTGCAGCAGAGGTGTTTCATGTGTATGACCACATATCATTACGGGGAAAAATTCTAGTGGTGTTTAGTGATCCGGTCAGAATGGGAATTTGATGGGACACAGGAGGTGATAACCAATTCTGACAAGGTGATGGTCACATGCCCTGTTATTTGTATTGATCAGGACAAGACAGAAGCACTGGTGGCGTTCAGGGTATCTGAGAGTGGGGGATGTGAGACAGTAAAGGTATACACAGATGGATCCAAAACTGGTAAGATGGTTACCTGTGCATGAGTAGTCGTCTTGAATGGTAAGATAGTGGGATCATGTAGATTCAGTGTACCTTTGTTGTGGTCGATCGTAGAATGCGAGATAATGGTGGTTGTTGATGTCTTGTAGGCTATCCTGTTGTTTTGCATTTGTCAAAAAGTAGAAGTCCTGCTCAATTGTCTACCAGTGCTTATCATAGTGAGGAATATAAGTTGTGATGATAAGACAGCTGGAGTATGGGACACACTCATGCCGCTTTTGAACTCATTCGAGTTTGTTGGCTTCCAATAAATCTCTGAACATATGAAGATTCCCGAAAAAGAGATATTTTACTCTATTGCATAGAGCTCAGTTGGAAGGAGCCCTGGCATTCCCATTGTTAACAGTTTTGGTATTAGGAATAGCATGGTGGCACGCAAAATGAGGCAGTATGAGTAGGTTGCATGGTACCTTGCCCAAGGCCACGAATACTACTCTAGGGAGCCGACCAAGCTCCGACATTTGAGGGAGCTTACCAGGATAGACAAATACGTCTTGGTACAGTTATGCAGTGGGGCCGGGTTATAGAGGCATGAGGATTGCAGTTGGGGTGGTGACCGAATGCATTTGGTCAACTGTGATTGATTTAAAGATAGAAGGCCTAACCTGGTCAAACTGCTTATCAACAAACACATTGGGGAGTGGGTGATATGCTGGCAGAAGCACAACTGACTTGGGCTGTAGGTGCTATTAGGCAAAGAAGACCTTGACAATGTGAGGGTGGTGGTCGGAAACCTGTTCCGTAGGGTATTTTACGTGGACAGGGGTGATGGTAACATCCTTGATATAACCAACAACTAGAGATGTGATAGATTTGGGATTTACCATGGGAAGGGTGGCTATTGCATACTTCTAGTTTTACCATTTCATATGAAATGCAGGTACCTGTTTCTGATTGGACTGGACCATGACTTTGCCTGTGGAGGTTGTAGGAAGAAGGTTGCGTTCAAGGCCAGGTGGTGGCATCATAATTTCAATGGAAATTGCGTAGCAGAATGGACAAAATCTTTTTGAGATGGGCTGCAGAATAGGTGGGATGGGGAGAGTATGGAATACTGTACTACGTTTACGGTGTGGTGGGCTAAAGAGTGTGGGTACTTGAGGTCTAGGTTCTGCTATGTTTGCAGTACAGCAAGAATACCAACAGTAGCAAGAAGACATTTCAGGAGGACGACTAGATGTTGAGACAAATTGATAGAAGATTTCCTTTGTTGAGTTAGGAGTGAGATTGGATAAATTGTTATTATTGAGGTGACAGTTTATGTTTGGGGATGATTGTTTGATGTTGTGTTATTTTGTTTTGTTTTGTTTTTTGTTTTGTTTTGTTTTTTATTTTGTTTTTGAATTGTTTTGCTTTGGTAAAAGGTGGTGTTGGCTTATCATGAAGACATAATGCTATTGGACATGTATACCAAGTTGGTGATGGCCCTTGAGGAATAAAAAAAACTATTTATATGGTCAAGTCACTTTGCCAAGTCTGGATAACTTGTATAATGTGGGGTTCAGCCCTTGAGTGATATCAACCAACCAATCAGATTAGTTCTCACTCTGCAGAAAATGGATGACAACAAGGTACTTACTGCACATTATCCTCACTGTACTGTCGTATCTCATTGCTATGTGGAAATACTGACATGAAAATTACACTTAGATTTTACTCCTCATAACTTAATATGAAGTATTAAGAGAAGGCTACAACAACATTAGATTTACAAGTTATATTAAAGTTGAGGAAGCCTAGTCTATAACTATAAAGATGAGAGGAAGATATAATTTGCGCCTGGAATAAAGGCACTGGAAAATTACATGGAGGAGGAAAGTGGCCTAGAGTAGTGAATAAAATATGAAGAAGTTTGCAAATCTATCAGTTTAAGAAATACATATTACTTTAAAGGAAAAATTACTTCTCGGGTTTGTTGAAGTAGTTGAGAAGTCTAGGTGATCAAGTAAATAGTATGGACATGTTTTTTTGCTAATAGGTTGAAGCAAACAAGTAATGAGATAAGAATTGCAGAGAGTAATAAACTGATTGCATTTGCCAGGACAATAAGTTTATATTTCTCTACTCACAGATTTCCTGGGGTAAAGGTATTAGTACAATCACTATCTTAGGTGATATCATATCAGTGTATACTAGTACTTCTATCACAATCCTGAGGAGAATGATGTTGAGGTTTTAGAAAGCTAACTACCATGTCCTTATAACTTTAATCCCACCAGACATGTTTAAGCATACCTCATCAATCAAAGAACTTCCTAGCAAACACCACTCCTGCTCAGATATGCAGTAGATAGCTCAGATATGCAGTAGATAGACCAGAAGACAAGGCAGAAGGCAAGGCCAAAAGAAAACTTCCTGTTCAGCACTGAGAGCTGATACAAGACTCTTTCAAGTTACTTGAAAAGCTGACTGAAGCGAGCGCTCCTAGGAGGATTGAGAAAATTATCGGGACAAATAAATGATATAACAAATATCTATTTCACAATATAAACTCTACAAACATGCTCACTTGAGGTTTCAGGCAGGTTGGGGTCACGAGCAGGTTAGCGCCGTTGCCCCCTCCCCGAGCGGTACGAGTATTCAACCCGCCAAGAAGCGCTAGACCCACGAACGGACTAGCATCCCAGGTTTAGCGTGCTCAGCTATCACCAGAAACTCTGCTATCGGGTCTGTATGTACGAGTAATATTTCATTGTTCTCTGGGCTTATTACTTGCATAATATTTATTATTATTCGAGTTGACCGGTTGTAGGGCGCTTCTATTTTCTCGCTGTTTGCATGGTCTTTTTATCTTTTGCTCACTCTCTTAAATTTTTTTTTTTTTTCTTATTCATGGTGTGTTCAACCATGAACTCTGTTTAGACTACCATTCTAGATTCTAATAGTTTGCACCAACTCGCAGTTTTTCGGGTCTAGTGGGTTCTATCATGTGGCGGGTCAAATTTGGATGTCGATGGATATTCCATAGCCAAATCAGAATCACTGCAGACACCAATGGACAAACCCCCGAATCTACAACAAGCCGCTCTGGGGGAGGTGGGTGAGGAGAGCAAATATTATACGCTGCCCCAGGATACAAAGCCCATTGACATGATGAAGTAGGCCCCACCAAACTCCGGGGGTTCCGAGAATTCGAGGCACCGACTATCATACTGCCCGAATTGGAGAAGGAAGTAAGAGAGAAGAAAACGCCTTCCGGAATTTAAGCCAATCTAATCTAGTCCAGCCCAGCCCGTCTATGGTAGCAAAGACAAAGGAAATGAAAATGTGTCGTGGAATACGGGAAAGTGAAAAGTTGAAAAAAATACAATGCCCAAACACCAATTCGCCAGCGGACCAACCAAAGAAGCAAGGACACTGTCGCTAGCAACATGCCCGCCATAATAATAAAAAATTGTACTAGTAAAAGATAAAAATGCGCAAGGGAAGGGAAGGGAAGAGGGAAGGGAACATAGGAGAGGGAAAAAGGTTTTTCCGTCATCATAACCATCATCGTCGCAATCATCAGACAAGCTATACTAAACTACCCCTGAAATCAATCAATCAATCAACCAATCAATCAATCCACCTGTCCATACATAGCCTCTTGCCCCTTTACAAAACGTCCACATCGACAGGCAGGTTATCAGTTTTCAACTCCCTCCCCTTCTTGCTAGTAGCGACAGGGGCCCTTCCATTCTCCTGGACATAAAACTCTCTCAACTTAACCACAGCGCTGGATGAATAAATCCCGCCGACAACCTCATATCCTCCTCCCCCCCCGCCATTCCCACCATTCCTTCCGTCGCCCATCCCATCCCCTTCATGGACCCTCAAGACCCCACCGCATCCGCCAAACCTATCATTCGAGCAGCCGAAGTAGACCTTCCTGATACCGATCTGGCGGAGTGCGCTAGCGCACATGATGCATGGCTCGACAGTAACGTATAGGTCGGTCTCTTTGAATATGGACGGCGGATGGGTAGCCAAGATCTTGTCAATCGCGACGAGCTCCGCATGGCGGGTCCCGCAAAGGGAACGATTTGTGTCGTTTCGGCCGCTGGCGATTATGCGTGAGCCGTGCACGAAGACACAGCCGACGGGTACTTCATTGCTTTGGAGGGCTGAGGTGGCGATTTGGAGAGCGGATTGCATGTATGCATGGTGGATGGTAGGTGGGGGGGTAGTTGGGTTTAGGGTAAATTTTGGTGGGGTGGCGGCGGTGGCAGCCGCTTCAATTGGAGCAGTTTTGGCAGTTGCAGTTGTAGCGATAGCGAGGTTGGTAGCGGGGGTAGGGGTGGTGGGGGTGGTGGGGGCAGTGGTAGAGGTGATACGGATAGTCATTTTTGGTGCCAGTGTTTGGATAAGGCGCTTTAGGGGCATTCAGTGCTTTCGGCTTCCTTTTTTCCTTTCGTTTAGAAGTATTTATTTTGTGTTATAGGTAAAGGAGGAGGTCAAGGAAGAGAAAGGGGAATTGCAGTCGTTGGTCGTTGGTCGTTGGTTGGTTGGTTGGTCGGTCGGTTGGTTGGTTGGTTGTTGAACCGACTTCCCGTTTGTCGGGGAGGGTAACTATGATACCAAATGGGATCAACCAAGAGTTAGTAAGTTAGGTTAATTTAGCAGAGCTCATCCTCATAAGATATGATAGTGGCATGCGCGGGCACTCGGACGCCAGCGCGGTAGGTTAGGGCTACACGCATGATAGGCCTCGTTAGGTATTACGGCTGCGAGTATGACGAGCCTAGCTGACGATAGTTTTCATAATAACATTATCATAATATTAATTTCACTACATGAGTGGCAGCTCTTGAGCTGGTTACGTTTTTCAGGGACACGACACCTGCTTTATCGCAACTCCTATCGTACTGCCTGCGCAGCTACGTGGGAGATCACAGCTGCGATAAGGGATGTTTTACCTTTCCCAAGGCGCAACAGCACGGCATCTCACTCGAGCATCGCCTAGTATCGCACTGATTCATTCAATCATAGCATTTCTATGGCTCTAATCTACATCCCCTCTCCCCCCCTTCCCCCATTCACTCACCCACCGCGTTCATATTCTTCCATTTCGCATTCCCACAAATTCCCTGGGGGGTAGTAAAAAAGCAAGACAAAGGCTGTTGTGCAAATAATCGAGTTCTCATTTTTCCTTCGCCGTCTGCTAGCCTGCCTAACACTCGAAAAATCAATGGTCTAGCAAAATGCGCACACACGGAGGAGCCCCTTCCACTTAAGGGGAGAGATAGAACGGCGATGCCATTCCCAGCAAATGGGCTCTCTGCAACCCAGAAGTCAGCAAACGGCGAGCAATCTTCAGAGATATGGAGTGTGGAGAGGTGCAGCACGTACTGTATGACAGCCTTGGAGTTCCCCAGATAACCTCAGATATAACCAGGGCCCACATCGCAAAGCTCCGGGAATTCCAACCTTCCGGACAATGAAGAAGCATCGCTTACCTTGGAATGGATCATTAGTCCAGTCCACCGTTTCACCGCTTGGTTACTTGCATGTCTAGTGACTGCACCGGCAGGAGGCGGGCTCCGCGCATATCCAATTTGCCCATAGGCATCCTACCTACAGCCCCTAACGCCCATTGAAAAACACCGCATATCAGCCAGCTTCATCCAGGCAGACCCCTCCAGCCCTCGCACCATCACCCTTCCCAGGGGGGTTTAAAACTAACCTGGTTTATCATAACAAACGCCCCCCCGCATAATTCAGACCGGCTACCGATAACTTGTTTTTCTGCTGGGTCCGTAATCCGCCAGTAGATTCCCCATGTAATCGTGTGACGGTTACAGTCGGCTACTGTTCAGGCGGCCCGAAACGTGATCCCCCAATCACCAAACATCATCTGGCTAATCACCCCAATCCCAATCTCAGCGCGGCAAGCCGACACAACACTTTCTTTATAACAGGGCTGAAAGCGGTGAGAAGAGTTTTGCTCTCCCCCCATTGCAGAATTAAGCCCGTTCCTATTCACACAAGCAGGGATTCAATATGTTTTCGTCGCTCCGTCTCAGAAGCACATCCCCGAGGCACAAAAGCTGAGTTACTCGTAGTCACCCAAAAGTGCTGCGCTGCTGCCACGTGATAAATCGTCAAGCTTTTCAACCCCCTTTCAGCGCATAACTCCGATAGGCTTCAACCATGACGGGCTCCCCTCGAGCTTTTTTCTCAGTGATGTAATGTTAAGTGATGAGGTAAGTGTGGCCAATGGGGGTTCAGCCCGCTGCAGCGCCATCAAGATATCGGGCGCCGATTCGTAGGTGCTACGACCGCACCGATAGGGTCAATCGACAGGGTGCGCCATCGGTACTATTCCTTTGGTCCCGAAAAACTAACACAAAAAAGACAGTCAAGGAATCCAAAACCCGATGCGAGTATCAAACGGTATTGTATTTAGGTTACCCGTTTAGTAAATTTATCCGCTGAGGCCCGTCAATGGTATTTAGCGCAACGCGAGGTGGTGAACCTGTGGTACGCGCTTTGTGTTTGCAGGAAACACGTGAGACGGTGTTTTAGCAAGCAGAAAAACACCGAAAATACAGTGCGGTGTGGCGAACCAGGGCTTGTCTCATACAATGCACTGCATATAAGTAGATAGAGTCTAATCAATCACCTTAAGGGTGGGAATAAGACTATTCGCCGGTCATGCAGAATACCCATTTTCAATGGAACCTCCGCTCGGCTACAATAGATGTTCCAGGAATCCCGATTTAGGCGAGAAATCAAAGAAATAGGAAATCCAATCAAATTTGCCAAGCTGTGGGTAAACAATTAGAGATGCCAAAAGCGAAAGAGAAAGTCGTTATTTCGCCAGCCTTGTGCCAAATGTGATATCATTTCCGACAACGAGTGATTTATTGTGACTCAGCCTGGTCGACTGAAGCTTGGAAAGGCCGCATTATCTGGCAAAATTTGCCTGCCGCTAGCACGCTAAAGCGAAGCAGGGGTTGAAGTAAAACATTCAATACAGTCAGGAAGGTCCAAAATAGACCTGGTTTTGGCCATAAAGGGTTAGGTAAAGGCGTTTTGTTGGGAATTTGAGACAGATTACAAAGAAAACTCTTACTTCAATGCATTGGCGACAAGTAAATCTTGCCAGAGAATGGAGTATCACACCATACTATATGTATCAGTATAAGTGGAGAGCCAAGGTACATGGAATGGTCTAGTCAAGCCAGAAAATAGCTCCGGTGACCCGTCGGGATGATCGTTGGCCTAAAGTATGGGACATGGGAAGTGTTAGCCACCAAGCCGAAAGGCCATTTACTCGGGGAAATTCTTACCCAAGCCCAGTGCTAATGCTGAAATACCAAGCTCCGGTTTAACACCCTAACAGAAGGTAATGGAGAGCATCTGAGCATTGTTGAGCCACTTAAGTTCACCGCCCATCATGCTATTACGAGGGAGAAATCTTGGACCCCTAGAGAAACCAAGCCAGCTTAAAACTGCCAGATTATAGGAGATCGGATTGAATGTGATAGGGCGCGAGAGCCTACCTTCTCAAGCGCCTCTTCCACGCCCAATTCCCGAGCTATAGCTCCGGATGGCTCTTCAATAACCAGGTTTGCTGGTGGTGTTCCGCTGATCGAATACCGTCCGGCCTATTTCCTCCTAAATCTTCCTTCACTCTGTTCCCAATTATGGAATTTATTGAGACTGAGTGATAACCTGTGATCAGGTTCGCGTGATAATTGATGATCTAGTGCTCTTCAATTAGCATCATGAATGCACCAATCGTTCCCCATCACCCTCGTCAACTCTCTCCGGTGGGTTCACTCAGACCCACCTCCAAACACCGCTAATATCGCCATCATCACAATCGAACAAATTAAAAAGAAAAAAACCAAAGCCCAATATATTGAACCTACATAAAAAACGACCGCTCTGCCCCACCCGGGCCGGGCAGAAGAAAAAATTGACCAGCAAACGAATACAATAGCTTCTTTTTTTTCGTTGAAAAAAAAAAGAAAGAGTAAAATGTAAAGAGAAAGTAAAAACACCCCATGATATCCTTTTTTTCGTTTCCAAGCATCGAAACCGTCGCATTTACCGTGATCACTAAAGTGATGTAAAACCCCTTGACCCCACCGCAAAACAAGCAAAGAAAAAGCGATTATCGGGGCAAATGAGGAATGGGAAGCAAAAAAGCAAATCCGCTCGCCGAAAAGGGGGAAGAAATGATTCAAATCAGGAAAACAGGAGGAAAAGAAGCATACAAAAATACAATTTTTTTCAGTTGTTACAAGCCTTTGTTTTTTAGTTAGTGAAAAACAAAAATCATGAGCTAAATGGACCTATTGCCCATTGCCCTGGCATCCCTCCTATTGGGCTGCTAGTCCAGGCTTCAAATCCGGGCGGAATAGTTGGGTTCCCTTGCATTTGGGCCTGGGCTTGGGCTTGCTGCATATTGAGGTACCACTGTGGACCTGGCATCTGCCCCACCACGCTTCCATGGCTTCCGGGGGTGCTAGGCTGTTGTGCATATCCATTGGCCAGGGCACTCATCAAAGAGGCATTAATCTGGTTTTGGTATGCGGTTTGGTCCGCAATCGTGGATCCAGGACGCTGTGGCGGCATCGTTGGTCCTGGGATGGGACCTGGGGCTTGTTGCAGTCCACCCTCCGCATCGAGTTTCCACAAATGCGGAGAGATGGAATCAGTAGAATAGCTTCGGCGGGGTCCCTCGCCGGAAAGATTCCACATATGCGGGCCAAATTGTGGGTGCGCCGTGAGCGGAGGGCGCATCGGCCAGTTGCCTCCGTTCTCTGATGCGACCCTTTGTTCATTATTTCCTAAGAGGAACGCAGGTGACCTTCCCATGGCACCACCTCCAAAAGCAGAAACCGAGTGTGGGGGGTTTGGAGCGTATACCGGACCCATAGGGCTGATGAAAGGCGGGGGGCCGTTCGGCCGATAGCCGGCTGCAAAGAGTTCCTTTGGATTCTTCATTTGCTGGTGGAAGATCATATCTGCTTGGTGGGCACCTGCATAATTTCGCATATGGGTGGGGCCCAAAGGTCCCATATAACGCACTCCACCATAGCGAACAGGGCCGTTACTGCCGCTGCCACTGCCGATATTCTGCTGGTAAGTCTGCGGTGGAGGGATAAAATCGGCGCTTCTATCAGTAGTGGTCATTGACGAACGACTTGGCGGTGGAATTTGCGGGGAAACAGATCGGCTTCGGAAATCTTCCGAATCAAGGTCACGCCTCCATGTACGCGTGCTAGGGCCTTTCCCATGGCCACATCGATTGCCACGTCGACTACCCCATTTCCCAGAGGCACTTCCTTCAGACGCTGATTCCCATGGTTCGTCTAAACCCCCTCCCTCTTGCACATGGCTGGGTCCAGGATAGCCATAGGAGCCGCTGCCACCTCTATACTTGGGCCCCTTCGTCGAAGCACTTGGGTTGGGTGCCTTGGGCATTGGTGCAGAACGTTCGCCCGGCCCGCGAGTGGCTTTGAAATTGTCAGTATCGAGCCTTAGAGAAGGCCCACCTCGCCGAGGAGTTGGACTTCTATCTCCGAGAAGCGGGGTCAAGGAAACTGCAGTTCTGGAATTACCCATTACGGGAGTATCGCATGGGCCGGGTTTCATTTTCGAGAAAGCATTCTCAATATCTGCTTCCCTTGGCTGGTTATCGTCAATATCCGAGTCATCGTCGATCCTTGTGCTCTGATATGAACTCTCCATCTCAGCACGAAGGTAAGCTGGAAGTGTCGGAGACTTTCGCGTGGATGGTTCGGGGGCCGGGGGAGGAGCCGGAGAAGCCGCAGGTCCCTCGCCGAAGAGGAAGAAAGGCTTACGTCTCTTTCTCTCTGTTCTTAGTTCCTCCTGTTCAACGTCTGGCTGGTCTGATTCGCTAATGATATGTTCATCCTCGGTATCCTCCTCATTTAACCTCCCCAAACGCGGTGCACTAGCTCTTTCGAAGCTCTGTGTCCCCACTTTAGGAGCTTGGTTATCTGAATCATATTGCGGTGGTGTGATTACCGTTCCACCGGGAGTCAAGATCCATCTCCAAGGTTGGGGTCCCCTAGCTCCATTTGTTTGCTCATCCCGATCCTGCAACGATTCTATGGGTCCAAAACGTAAGTAAGGATTGCGAAGAATGATGAAAGGAAAAAACAAACCATCTGAGGACACTGTACTTCTCTCTTTGCCCTTCTTCCTCTCTGTGGGCGAGGAGAAAAGATCATCAAATCGCCAGGAATCAGACGCGTTTGATCCGCTGGTAGGCCTCTTGTCCCGCTTCCCGGTCCCAAGACCCTCCTCCAGAAATTTTGAAAATAGGCTGCGGTTTGACGCAGCTCTACTGCTAGATCCCATTTTATCACCAATATTGTTATTGTCCATCCAACCCAAAGGCACAGTGGTCTCCCCGGGCTCCTTGGGAGTCGGTGTTGGGGAGGAGGGTACCGACAATCCGACGTCTTCATCTTCTGCTCCCTCCCCGGCCGCTCTGACCGGATCGTCCTCGTCTACAACTTCCTCCACGGTCACGTAGCGTTTCGGCACCGAACCATCGATATTTTCCTTATTCTCATCGCCGGCATGCCTCAAATGGTCATGAACCTCCAGTTCGCCAAGCTCCCGGTTGATCCTCTCCAATTCAGCAGTGGCATCAAAGCCTCTCGATGTTTCACCTTCAACTTCGATAAGTTGCTCCGATGTCAGACCGAAAGAAGTTCTTGATTGAGACCTCAGAGAGGAAGGCCGACCCCCGCTGGGTGAGGTCAATTTTTTTCGTTGCTCTGCAATGCCTTCGTCATATACGTGAACTTTCGGCCAGGCTTCTTCTGCCGCACAATCGACCTGCAGAATAAAATCATCTGCTTTCCATAACCCGGTTTCCCATAAATCTTTGATATTACTTCCACCGCTCTCATTTAGAATCCTAAAATGGATCCGTTCCTCGAGAGCGGATTGATACCAGTGCTTAATCTTCCGAACTTCCGATGTCCATTTAGCACCAGTAGCGAATAGTTCCGCAGCAGCATTAAGAGCTTGAAGGTGGTTCTTGGCAGCATGGCAAAGGTGTTTGTACACAGCCCTGAACGAAGATCCAGGGTGCGGGATGGATATTTCGGTAGTTGAAAGTGCCTTATCAAGATCGCCAAAATTGAGAATCATGGGTAACCTTCTCGCAAGGATATCGTGGACCAAGGGGTCCTCGTCGGGAAATGAAGAAACACTAGATTTTGTTGCCATAGGCGAGGAAGAAGTTGATGAAATAGAACGCAACTTCATTTTCAGCTGTCGCCTAGCCTCTCCTAGATCGAGAACTAATGATTCGATCTGTTTCCCATAACTCTCATGCAATCCACGAACGAGATCGTTATTAAAGCCATAGCCTCTCCGGGCATTCCGCATCTCCTCCACGTGTGATTCCTCAAGCTTTTTGATTTCATTCTGGTGGGACGCAGTAAGGTTTGAGATCTCAGTTCGGTGAGATTCGGCAAGCGAAGCGAGCGACGATCGGTGATTTGCCTTTACTCTCGTAAGGTGCTAAGAGCCATTATATTAATTTTTTTTCCGGTTTGTTTGTCACATCGGGAAGAAAAAAATCAATGGTTATATGTCCAAAAATAGAACAAAGTAGGCTGGGGAAAAAAGGTGGGGACGGAGGGAGAAGGGGGGGTATTTACATCGGCCTCTTCGTCCATAGCAGAACTAGTTCTAGCGAATAATTCTTTTAGGTTCGGAATTTCGTTATTCAAACTGCCCATCTCTTCACGAATGTCTCTGTTGCGGGATGGCGTGTATTGAGCCCAATCCTCCACTTCTGGGATATTATCGCGGCGATTGTTGTTGTTATCCATCTTCGGCTCCCCCATTTCGGCGTTATCTTCGGTCGGCCGTGTTAACCCCCCCTCTGCCTCTCGCCTCTCATTTCTTTCACCCTCGCTTCCTTCCGACATTGTTGTAGAGGCAGGAGTCAGGATTATGTCTTCCCGCAGTTGAGCACCGCCGTTAGTATCCTGGCCCGCTCCCGAGGATGGAGACTTGCTGGCGTCGACGGTGCTGGAACGGTTCATGCTTCGATCGTTGTTGGTCCGGCGTGCAGAGAAAGTAGCTAGCAGGGACCTGGATATTGAAAGCCGCCAATACGTGGACATCCGCCGATGGAGAGGATTGTAATAGAGGTTAGGAGAAACAACTTGATGATGTGAGATAAGGTTGGGTTTGGGGTATTGAAATGAGTTATGATGTCTTGTCACGGTCCGGATGTTTCGTTTGCCCTTCCGTATCGCTCCGCTTTAATTTTTTTTTTGGAGGGGCGGAGAAAAGATACGGGTGGAAGGGAACAGGTGATGGGATGTGGAAAGCGTGTTATGGATGGCGGTTAATGGAGGGAAAAAAATAACAAGAGGGGGGATTTCTATTGATAGACGGGGGAGGTGGTGTGTGTACGAGTAATATGTGTATGATATGTGTATGGTACTAGATGTGTACGAGCACGCATGTAAGTATGAATGAGGGTATCATACCAGTACTCGTACTGTACGGTACTAGGGGGTTACGCCGAACACGAAGGGAGGCGTGGGCATTGGGTGTCGGGGAGGTGAATGATTGTGAGCGAGAGGAAGAGAGAGGGGGTGAGGGGTGTTGTGTTTGGTAGAAATGTGGGTAGGAGATGGAGTTGTAGACTATCTCTCGGGTGCTCGTTCGAGGCTGCAGACTGTATGGATGGCCAAAAAAAAAAAAACCTTGCACAAGTACATATGATAAAAGCCGAGATTTTTGGAATGCAGGTAGAAGCTGAGAACGAGTAGGATGGGATTATTACAAAATAAAATAAAATAAGAAAACGGAAAAAATAACAATAAAAATTTGCTGGCAAGGTCAATAAGGGAAAGAAAAGCTGCAAAATAGGGAAGGAGCGAGAGTGGGCGAGAAAGTGTGCGTTGTCCCATTGTGTTGCACGGCAGCGATAAGCTTAAGCAGCGGACACCTCCAAGTTGCCCTACCCACCACTCTACTAAGTATGATAATTAGATCAGCTCGACACCACAATAATATCCTTTACAAAGTTGATAGAGGCGAGTTCATGCCCCGGACGGTAACTCCCCGCCCCAATGTTATGTCCACGAGTAAATATCCTCTAGGCCCCCTCACACCTCTCCGTTTCAAGTAGGTGGAATTGTGGGTGGAGGGCTAGAAGAACTGCAGTCCAGCCAACTATCGATAACCACAATTGAAAGGCATCGAGGTGGCCAACAAATTGATAGAAAGTATCCTCGCTCGCTATGCATAATAGGGCTAAGCCCCCCTCTATTCATGTATGGTACCGCACCATGGCCCTGATATACGGGCGAGTACCGTTTCGTGCCTAACTAAAAATCGACAAGGAGATCCCAACACATACAGCCTAAAAATCCTAGGGCATTGGTATATTATACTGTAGGAGGCAATATAGAAAGGAATCTAAAAAGGAGAAGAAGAAAACAGGATATTTCTACTACCGTAGGGTGGTATATAACGGTTTAACTCCTCTCAGCGACTCGCAAGACGGCTCTCAAAGCCGCTAATCCACCCGAATGACTCTCAACGGTTCTTCCGCGACCCCTGTCGTTCAAGTCTCCGCCTGGTGTGTTGTCCATCGGAATGGATAGCGGGCGACCGATCCCGCCGCCGTTCTGAATATCTACGGCTCCGGGGTCCAGAATTGTCTCGAACTTGTCGGAAGAGGACACATGCTTCGGTGCACCCCACCAGGTTCCGACAACGCCCTTCAGGTTACGGGTGCTCCATGCTGCCGCAGCGTTCTTGCGGATGAAATTGTGTAAATCTGTGCAACGCTCAAGGTGCCGGGATCTTGCTGCTCCGCTGAGAGCGCTGTTGGATGATACGGTAGGCAGAGGCTCGCAGAAAAGCGTCAAATGGTGGAAGAATATGCCTGATGCATGCATACATAAGTTTTGAATAAACAAACGAGAAAACGAATCATGGTGTAACAGACGAAAGCAAGTTTCTTATGTTATTACCGTATTCCTAACTTACCTTTAAACATGTGGCCATTCTGAGAACAGTACCCTCCAATGTCGCACTTTTCTGTGAGAATCCCGTCACGGACAATCTCCCCCACACGGTTCTCGCTCGTCACTACGGCATCCACCAGTTCGAATCCTTCTGATAAATACCCTTCGTCGCCTGTTGCTTCTGCGAGCCCACGTAGCCCACTTAGGAGCACACCCTGGTTGTACGTGTAAACCATTTCGTCCCTGACATCACATATCTTCTCCCCCACACCTTTGACATTCGAGATATGGAAGCCGTCGGTATAAAGCCCCTGTTTGTTTGTCATGTTGCTATTCCTTAACCATTCGTGCCCTCTTATCGCATTGAATAAATAGCGCTCATTCCGATCGCCGTTGTAAAGGTACATTCCGATGCTAGCAGATATATACAACTCGTTCGTTATGGCGTTCTTGTATTCAAGTAATTTAACTAAGTAATTTATTCTTCCTAAAAGGATAACTGCCTACTAGGCATACGTACCTTGTAGGGATCCAGGTAAGGGCTCCAGAGCATCCCGCCGGCGCAGAGCGCAGTATCCCAACCTCCCTCAGCGAGAAGGTAGAACTCGAGCGCTCGTTGCGCAAAAGGCTTCCGCCATTCCGCCCCTGCCCATTCGGAATCTTCGAAGGTCTCCTTGCGATAATCTATCATCTTTATTGCCTCTAACCAGCCGAGTACCACCCACAGAATATCGTCGAAAGCTTGACGGCGCAGTCCTTGGTCATCCTGACCATAAAAGAAAGCTATCAGTTGCGCAAAGCATGTATTTGAAAGAGCTCTTTCACCAGGAATTTCGGATAGGGTGTGGGCTCCAGCTGCAAGGTATGTTCCCAATACAGCGCGTGTCCAGTCTATACCTGTATTTAAATAATTTATTCTTCCTAAAAGGATAACCGCCCAACGGGCATATGTACCCAACAGCATTATGTCCCCGTGATAAGCCAACACCACCCCATTCCAAAATATAAAAACAAAAACAAAATAAACACTACCATGGCCCAATACCATCTTGCGACACTCCACCCAAACATAAATCCAGCAGTCTCACGGGCGCTCATCCCACCAGTGGGATCCCGGATTATAGTGTCTTACTGCCTCATAGCCCTATCCCCCAACTCAATCAATTCACCCTCAGCCCTCTCACCAAGCCAACATATAAATTCCCCCCACAATTTAGCCCAACAACTCTTCAAATACCTCAGGTGCATCCCAACAACTTCAAACACTATCCCGCACCACCCACAGCATCCGTCAACAGTCTTGCCCATCATCTTGCCCCACCATAAGGCAACCGAGTTCCGGTATTCATCCCGTTTCTCGTCCAACTCCACCGAGAGCCCATTCCAAAACCGCTCACCCCAATCCGCCACGCACTCCCGACTACCCTCGAAGTGCACCCACCTCGACCGGTATCTAATTCCTACCCCACAGGAGCCACATGGAAAATCATCGTGGACACCAATCATGAACGGGTACCTGCATTGCATGGCATGCAGAATTACAGGCAATATGCATCGATGTCCGATCTCACCAGATCGCCCACACCTATCACAAGCCCTCCTGCGCACAATCTCAACCATATGGCCGTCATCCCTTTCCACAAATATCGTCCCCTGGAAAGGATTCCCCGCTACCAAACGGACGTCCCCGAGATCATCCTTCTTGTTGGGTATCCCCAACCCAACCCAGGTATGCTTCCGCCACCACTTGACCCATTCCTCAAGGTACTTGTCGACAAAGAGCTGCTCCACATCAGGTCTCATCTCAGCGTATCGGTTACACTTGACCAAATGCATCCGGTCATCACCCCCGATGCAGCTTCCATGATCCTCAATCCTGGCTCCACTCCTCAGCCTCACCAGGACATACTTGTCCATCCTCGATAAACCCCTCAAATGACGGGACTTGGTGGGTTTCCTAGAGTACTACCCGTGCCCTTCCACCTTGCACCAGGCCACTCACTCTTTCTGCCGCAGATCTCTGGCAATCATCATATTCCTAAGCCTAAACGAGTTGGTAATGACATGCCCGGGGCTCCTCCCAACCGACCCCTCGCGATCCTATCAGCTTCCTCATTGCCAGCGATCCCCATATGACCGGGAACCCATTGCAAACTCACACTATCGAACTGGTTCAATAGAGGCTCAAGTGCATCCCAAATACCTGCCGTTTCATCATCACAACACATGTCTCTCACCATCGAGATCACTGGTTGGCAATCTAACAGCAGGAGTACTCGTCGACATCCAGGAGCAATGACAGCCATACTCGAAAGCACATTAACTACAGCCATCAGCTCACATTCCATGATCGACCATCCGGATGGCACACCGAATCCCCGAGACCCCATTCTGACACCCCCAAGGTAAGCCACCCATCCACTGGCAGCACCCTTACCAGTCTTGGATCCGTCAGTGAATACCATCAGCCTCCCGTCCATATCTTCCTTTAACCTCCTGTAAGCCACCAAGGCTTCCACCTTGCCACGGTCAACCCGAATTGACGGCCGGACATTCAACTCCTTATCAGAGTGCAATTCCGTGGCTCGCGCCCCGTCAAATTCCCAATCCGCCAGAGTCGCCGACCACTATGGGAAGTCCTCCCCAAAGCGGTATGTTATCATCCTGGCGTAGCACCTCCTTTGCAAGTATCGCCCTTGCAACATGATAGGCACCACTCCAAATTCAGCGCTCAGGATGTTGTTGGCAAGTTTCATCAGGGTTCGGAATGTGCTCCGAATACAGTCGTTCACATGCACCTGAATTCTCTTCACATAGGATGGAAAGTCGGTTAAGAACTCAAGCCCATAACAAACAGTCGGAAGATATGCAGCTTGGATCAGCCAGTACGCCTCCCATGCCCCAATCCCCTTGTTACCCCCCCACCTCCTCGTCAACCCACCAATTCTCCTCCTCACCCCCAATCCCCTCCTAAGCCAATACTCGACATGGTGGTCCTAGTGCATATGCTTGTTTAGGTAGAACCCTAGTACCCTAAGGCATTCCACTGGCTCCAAACAAACATCCCCGAAATGAACACCATCCCATGTCGTATCACCCAGCCCAAGCCACTGCAGTTTCCTTGTGGAGAAGTCTATTCCTCTCCCTCTCGCCACTCTCCAGCAGTCTAGAAATGTCTTCTGCACAATCTCAGCAACTACCTTTCTCGAAGGCCCAGCCACCAAAATCACACCATCATCAACATAACTACTAACCACCCTCGCCACCAAAACACCTGCACGCAACCACGGCCTAAAAATATCGGCCACATATGCCCTAAACAAAAAGGGGGACAACGGCGACCCTTGTGGAATGCCACAGGCCGTGAAGTAGTTCTTAGACACCAGTCCGTTAAAACGAAAATGTACCGTTCTCCTCAGACACCACCTCTGGACCCAGCACACCAACTCCCGGCATACCCCTCGAGCAACCAGGAAATCCGAGAGAAGATTGTGATCAACATGATCAAACCCTCTCTCCACATCCATCGAGACGATCATCCGGGCCCTGTCCTAGTAAAATCGGCAGAATTCCAACACTACCGCCATGGCATCATGAACCCCCCTCTTCCTTCATGACCCAAACTGTGTCTCCTCCAACTCCAGTTGACATGTGAGTTTGATTAACACCACTCTCTCACCAATCTTAGTCAAAACTGGTAGCAGGTGAATCATCCTCCAAGATTTCACAACGTCATATCTGGGTTTGTCCGCCTTCTCGATGAGGACACTCTCCGCCACCTGCCATTCCGGGTGGTCGTATTTCAATCCAAACCCTATCATCCTCCGGAACACACCCAAGTTGGTCCTCATAAGGAACCTGCAGAAAGGGTAAGTCATGCCGTCTCTTCCAGGAGCCGTGTTCGCTGGGCTCCTGGCAACGGCAATCTCCACCTCATCGCATGGCCCGATATCGATCTCAGATCGAGCTCATTCTATCTCATCCCCCGGTCAAAGCTGTTCGGCGATTAAATCCGATATGTCAGCAGGATAGGTCCCGGATGACAAGTCGAAAAAGCCTTCCTATAAACTCTCAAGAGCTGTTTTGAACTCATTTAGAGGAGCTTTCTTCGGCGGACGGAGTAAAGGTAGTTCTGAACGGAGCTCCTGGGGAAATGAAAAAGAAGTAATAAGAAAAGAAAGGAATAGAAATGTGAAGATATGACAATAGCGTATCATCTTGCTCGATCTCTTACTGTTTTCCTCCTTGTACTCGAGTACTTGTAGAGATCCTAAGTTTGGAGTAGCAACCCTAATACTAGTTAAGGGTTTTTTATGCGGACGGATTTCGAATTCAAGCAGATCAATCACCTAGACGGTGGGATCATGAAAGATATAGGGATAAAAGCAATGGTGTACCATTGCATTCTCCGTATTCCCCATCCTCCCCCCTTCCTAGCCACTCGGGGACAAGCACTCAAGGATCAGGGTTTCGGAACAGTCATTCAAATAATTTATTCTTCCTAACAGGATAACAGCCCAACGGGTATATGTACCCAACAGCATTATGTTTCTGTGATAAGCCAACACCACACCATTCCAAAAAATAAAAACAAAACAAAATAAACACTACCATGGCCAAATACCATCTTGCAACCCTCCTCCCAAACATAAATCCAGCAGTCTCACAGGTACTCATCCCACAAGTGGGATCCCAGATTAATGCGTCTTACTGCCTCACAGCCCCACCTATCCATCAACAAGTTCATGCTCAGCCCTCTCACCAAGCCAACATATAAATTCCTCCCACAATTTATTCCAACAACTCTTCGAGTACCGCAGGTGCATCTCCACAACCTCAAACACCACCCCACACCACCCACAGTGCCCGTCAACTGTCTTCCCCATTATCTTGCCCCACCACAGCGCAACTGTGTACCAATATTCATCCAGCCACTGTCCCAATCCCTCTGAGAGCCCATCCCAGAATCGTTCATCCCAACTTTCAACGCATTCTCTATTACCCTCAAAGTGGACCCATCTCAACCGGTATTTAATATCCACTCCACAGGAGTCACATGGAAAATCTCCCTGGACGCCAATCATGAATGGGTACCTGCATTGCATGGTATTCAGAATCACAGGTAGCATGCACCGATGTCCGATCACCTTAGATCCACCACATTTATCACAAGCCTTCCTGTAGGCGATCTCAACCACGTGTCCATTCTCTCCTTCCACAAATATCATCCCAATAAAAGAATTCCCGGCCACCACGCGTACATCCCCAAGATCACTTTTCTGTTCAGGTATCCCCAACCCAATCCAGGTGTATTTCCGCCACCACTTGACCCATCCATCAAGGTACTTGTCAACAAAGAGTTGACCCATATCAGGTCTCATTTCAGCGTACCTGTCACACTTGACTAGGTGCATCCTATCATCACTCCCAATACAGCTTTCATGATCCCCAATCCCGGCCCCACTCCTCAGCCTCACCAGGACATACTTGTCCATCCTCGATAAACCCCTCAAATGACGGGGTTTGGTAGGTTCACTAGAGTAGTACCCATGCCCTTCCGCCTTGCACCAGGCCACCCACTCTTTCTGCCTCAAATCTTTAGCTATCATCATATTTCCAAGCCTAAAAGAGTTCGTAATAACATACCCAGGGTTCCTTCCAACTGAGCCCCTCGTGATCTTATCAGCTTCCTCATTGCCGGCGATCTCCATATGACCGAGAACCCATTGCAGACCCACACTATCGAACTGGTTCAATAGAGGCACAAGTGCATCCCAAACACCTGCCGTTTCATCATCACAACCCATGTTCCTCACCATTGAGAGAACAGGCTGACAATCTAGTAGCAGGAGCACTCATCAACAAGCAGGAGCAATTACCGCTACACTCGAAAGTGCATTAACCACGGCCATCAGCTCACATTCCACGATCGACCATCTAGATGGCACACCAAATCTCCTAGAC